TGTAGTTGGTTTTCTTATGTTTGTAAGCAGGGAAATATAATTTTGAAAACAACCAGCCTGACATCCATCTTACTTTTTTCCTGGAAATCTTTTCAGATTCTCATTCTTGTTTTACCAAAAGGCCATTTCCACTAACTTTTTGCAGTGTTTTGGGCTGAACAGAAGCCTAGAAGGCTTTGAATGGGAGGTGGGAACATCCTTTGCAAACTCCCACTCATTGTTTTGGTTTCCACACTTTTCCACAGAATTTCCTTTTACCTCAGCTCCCCACCCACCCGGCCAGCCACCCACTCACCTTGGGATATATCCAGTTAGGGCTGGTGGAAACTGTAATCTGATCATTCCATGGCTGATTCAGATCTTACTCGGTCTAAAGCATGAACAAAGCCATCAATCTGTGATTGTTCTTCACTGAGGAGGACTTGCTTTCCTGGCATATTCCCCCCAAAATTGTGCCAAATACAGCTGATTCCCATTGCAGATGGCAGTCTTACCTTCAGAACAATCAAGTTACACAGTAAAGCCTTCTCTCCCTTCTTCCACTGTTTTTGGAATTGAAAGCAACCCAGCTGTCTCTAAGAATAAAAAGGAACACAAATATAAAAATAAACCACCCTTATATTGCAAGGAGTAGGGGAAATTGGCCACTTTTTAATATTAGAAATTTCAAACATATGATGAACTAATTTATATTTTCATTTTGACATTTTCCTTCTCAGTGGGAGGGCAATTAAGCCATATTTTAAGCCCATTCAAAGTGGCCTTATTCTGAAAATGTTGTAGTGATATCTATAGAATGCTTACCACCAATCAGCAGAGCTTAAGGATGCAGGAGTGCCTAGTTCTCCCCTCCCTAGACCACCTGACCCAAGGGTCACTTGAGATAAGGACTTCCTCCATGAAAACTTGGGGCTCCTACTGTCCTCCCTGGCTCCCATCTTGCTCAACTTCAGGCTGTTTTTCACAAAGCTAGCAAAGGGATCTTCCTTTCATGCAGATTTGATCCTGCCAGCCATCTGCTTGAAATAAACTTTCAGTGACTCCATATGAACCTCAGAATTAAGTCAAAACCCTAGTATTAGCACACTAACAAATTTTCTCTTGATCTGACCCTGCTCACTCTTCCCTACATCAGTCCTGGTCTCTTCTCCCCGTGTGCACCTGCCTGAGTCATATTAAGCCATGTTTTATCCCAAGTTATGCCTCTCCTTCTCTCACTGCCAGGCATTTGCACTCACTGCCCACTCTGCCTTGAAAACTTCATTGCCTCTTCTTCACCTGGCTCATGCCTTCCTTTCCATTTTGACTTCCAGTCTAGTTACAATCCAGTGATTCTATTTTTGCCATGTTAAAATATGGCCAAAGATAATTTTATCTAAAACATAGAATACTATGCATGATTTTCAGTCTTACTGAACATATTTCATCTTGCACATTTGTCCTTGTTACTCAGTGAAAACACATTAAAATTCTGCAACAATCCAACCTTCATCTTGACTAAATTGCTGAAAACTAACCACGAGCGGATGATTCTTTTCACGTATGATGGAATTTTCCACTAATGTGTCTACTTACTCTAGCCACATCCACGTGTCCTCTAGTCATGCCCTATCAGATTACACCCCTGAAATAGCAATCCCCTACACTTCCATTGTTTTATTTTAATTTTTTAATCCCATAATTGAATAGATTATAAATCTGAATTGCCTGTTGAACAAAACAGAGTTATAATCTCAATTGTAGAGGAGGAGGTAATGGTGGCAGATGACATGAAGATATTGTGTGGTTCACCTAACATTTCATGATGTTTTGGCACAGAAAAGAGTAGAAGTATCAATTTTGGATATTATTTTCAATTCAGGGGTCTCCTGGTTTGGGAACTAATAGAAGAAAGAGAATTAATCCTTTGTCTTGCAAGCTAATAACCTTGAAGAAAGATGAGTTGCAGAGCAGTGAGCCCCAGACAGTCAGTAGCCCTTCCCCCACTCCACTGGCTGGCTCCATTCTCTTACTTTGGAATATGTCTAGTTAGTGTTGGTGGAAACTGTGTAATCTGATCCTTCCATGACTGATTCAGACTTCACTGGATATAAAACATGGGTACACAGTTCAGCTTGGAGTCTGCCAGGTCTTTGCTCCCATTGAACTTGCTATGAGGACATCTTTTGGCTCACTCTACCCTTTCATGTTCTCCTTAGTGGAATGTCACTTGCCTGAAATAGCTTTTATGTGACTTGCTTTTTGGTTGTTTTCTCCAGATCATTACTCCTTTCCTTTGAGACTTGAATTTAATCTCAGTAAATTGATTGAATTTTATTTTTCTTTTAAGGAAAGCTCTTGTCATCACATCCTCCATCACTTTATCATTCCATATTGTTGTGCCTGTTATTCATGTCACTAATATGTTGGCCTCATTTTTCATTGCTATTTTTTTCTTTCACATATTCAAATAAAATTAACTCTTTCTCATTGCTTTCTTAATTAGCGATATTTTTATACAAATTTATTGAAAGCCACTTGATGTGGTTTGGATCTGTGTCCCCACCCAAATCTCATGTCAAATTGTAATCCCCAGTGTTGGAGGTGAGGCCTGGTGGGAGGTGTTTTGATCATAGGGGCAGTTTCTCATGAATGGTTTAGCACCATCCTCTTGGTGCTGTTCTTGTGATACTGAATGAGTTCTCATGAGATCTGGTTGTTTAAAGTGTGTAGTGCCTCTCCCCACCTCTCTTGCTCCTGCTCCTGCCATGTAAGATGCATCACTATCCCTTTGCCTTCCACCATGACTAGAAGCTTCCTGAGACCTCCCCAGAAGCAGAAGCTGCTAAGCTTCCTGTGCAGCCTGCAGAACCATGAGCCAATTAAACCTCTTTTCTTTATAAATTACCCAGTCTAAAGTATTTCTTTATAGCATTGCAAGAATGGATTAATACACCACTTTAATAATTCCAACACTTTGCCAGCTTACTCTACTAGTAGACAAAAAATATAATGGATTAGGTCTTTCCCCCACTTTAAAAGAAACTTTGATTAATAGAACTTAGAAAACCTGGGCAAAACCAGATGAAAATGTCCTACGGGTTTTTCTGTTTTTGTTTTTGTTTTGTTTTGTTTTGTTTGTTTGTTTGTTTTCAGTGTCCTGGGAACAAAATGGTCCCTGCATGTTTGATGTAATGAATTAGGCAACTAATTTAGGCATAGGCAGCATGGAGCAGGGCTCTGAAGGGGACTTTAGTACTTCAGAGTGGAATTACTCTCAGCAAGTTACATAACAGTGTGAGCTTCAGTCTTTATTAGTCAGATATAATTGTTGGGAGCAGGAAATGAGATGACACCTAACATGGCACCTTGTTATCTTCCTCTCTAGTCCCTCCTCCCCTACCTTTTCCACAAGTGTTTCAGCTAGAGTTAATGACAACTAGGTGATAAAGCCACAAACACCATCCTTGCTCTCTCCAATTCCTCCAAAAATTAAAAATAACGAGAAGCAAGTGATTAACCCATGATTTTTTTTTAGTGTGTGTCATGTAGTAAGTAAATAGTATATGTAAATGATGAGGATTTGTTTGACCCAGGAATGCAGCTTTTATAGAAAATTACTGTGCAATTGGCTAATCTGGAATTGCTCCATATTTTTCCATTTTGATTACCAAATTTGGAATTGAATAGAGTTCTGTCTATAATCATGAGAAACTCAAAAACAGGAAGATGCTACTTTCCCTGGCGCTTTGTTATTTAGTTCTACTGACAGCAGATTAGTCAGTCAACCCTTAGGGAGGATGTTTTCCACTAAGAAGCAGACTCGGGAATGCCTTGGCTGTTTTTACAAACAAGTTAACCCAATGAAAATTCATTTTTGAGTTGACGAATCCTATAGCACACTCATTTTAATTGTGTTTTCTTACTAGGATACTACTTTGAATTATTTACTTTTCAGCCTCATTTTTGACATCATAAAGACATGAATGTCGGGACACTAGGGAGATCCAAGACTTGATTCTTACCATGGGACTTGAAATAATTTTGATGAATTCCATAGACGAAACATAGGTAACTCCTCAACTAGAAATGTAGAATTTCAGAATTTCAAAGAGGCTTAATAATCTCTAGTCCAGTCACACATTTGAAGCTTAAATTTGCTTCAGCGTATCTCTGTCAAGCGAGATTCAACTCTTCAGTGTCCTCCAGATAGCTCTATTAAAAAGTTCTTCCTTATTTTAAACCCCATAGCTTTCACCTTGGGTCTAGATTCTTTTATGGACATAGAAAGCAGTTCTGCTCAAACCTACGAAGGTACAAACTTCTTGAGGGCAGGGATTGTATTCACTACAACTTCTAGTAACTTGGTAAATGATTGTTGAATGAATGGAATTAATAGCAGACGATCTTCTCTATTTTGGGATATTATCTTACAGAATGGCAAATGAACATCTTATTTAAGTTCCATTGAGAAAGCATCATATGAGAACTGATTTTATTGTTTAAACGCTATAGCTGATTTTTTATTCTTTCAATCTTACACTTCAAGCGCTTTTACCTGTTTATGTTATTATAGTATACCTCTACTGTAAAAGAATATATTTCATGACTCTATAGCTATTAACTATTGAGTATTACATGTGCAGAGCATACTGTCTGCGACTTGATGCAGAGAAGTTGAAACCCCACTGAAGCCTGTATTAGAAGTCCTGGGTTCTAACACCAGCTGCACCACTAACATCTGAATAACCCTGGACAGGTCACTCAGTTTCTGCAGTTGTTGACTCCTCATCTGCAAACTGCAAGGGTTGAACCAAATACGCACTCCAACTTCTTTCCACCATCACAGATTGTTTCTGTTCTTGACTTGTCTGTCCCGTGTGGTAGACTATCACAGAGACAATCAAAGAATACAGACCTCTGATTTCCAGTTCAGTTCTCAAATTGTATCGTCAGTAACTATCTACTTATGCACATTATTTAAAGCTAAGTCTGCTTTCTTTTCCCCTCTCTCTTTTCAGAATACTTTTCTTCAGGAGACAGTGCGTAGAGAATGTGAAGAACGCTTTGAACTGACAGAAGCTTTGAGTCAAACCAGAGAACAGCTCCTGGAACTCAGGAAGCTTCGTGGAAGTTTACCATTCTCACCGTGTTCCCTCAGCAAGGGCAGCCTAACCTCCCCTGCTGCAGCGGTCAGTAATCATGGAGAGAGAAGCCTTGCAAGACTGAACTCTGAAAAAGGAATCCAAATTCCCAGCCTGCGCGGAGTGTCAAAACCCACCACTTTCCCAACCTCAGATAAGCCCAAGAGGGTTGGCAGCTCAGGCTTGCCCATTCTCCCCCAGCCACATCCTCCCAGGGGTGGAGCATCTTCAGCAAATGAGACTAGACAGAGACTGGCTGCCATTCTTAGGAGGAGGCGGAGTCAGCAATGATCCAAAGTGAGGAGCAGGCAGCTCCCCACAGCGTGCACGCTCTTTCAGAGAGTGCCAGGAACTCACTGTAACTGAGAATGACAAAGATAAAATTATTTTCACAGATCAGGAAGGCATACCTATAGATATATTTAACAAAAGACTGTAAAAAGCTGGAAAATTGTGAAGCCATATTTTTCAAGAGGGTTTTGATAGAGTAACAGATAATTAAGTTGTTGGTATTCCAGAGGTCTGATTTCTATATTTATGTTGAAATGTGCTCTATGAATATAGCCTTTTAGAGATCACAGGTAAAATTTTTCACCCATAACATCTTTTCCATTTCTTGCACCACTACAAGCAGATATATTTCCACAAAAAAAAAAAAAGAAAAAAAAAAAAAAAGATTGTTTGGGTTTTGTTGGTATGTGTTCATTTGTTTGTTGAGCTGAATAGGTTAAATCGATGTAATAAGTATTCCAAACAGAAAAAAAAAAAAAAAAAAAAAGTACTTTATCTAATTAAAATTAGATAATCTCCAAAATGCTTAGTTCAGGTAGTTGCAGAGATCATCATCATAATTAAAAGCTTCTTTTCCTCACCTTACAATCTAATTGGTTAATCTAATTTCTCTTTAGGCTAGCTCAGAGTTAATGATAGATAACCTTCAGGAAGACAATCTTCTCTGAGTGACTGGGGACCTTCTAGAAAAAGAGATGGTAATGTCAATTCAAGGAAATAGTATTTTATTTCTCAAATTATATAGATTATTTTAGTAAACAAATAACCTGACCATATTGATAGATATTTTCTACAATGAGTGCTTTTTGGTACTCAGAGTTAGGTCTTTATTTGGCCTTGTATTCTCAAACCATTGGGAAAAAAACTAATTCAACACAGTTTAGTAAAGTTAGAGGTAATTTGGGATTCAAATTTTATTACCCCTGAAAATGGGTAACTGGTTAACATGTTTTCTATTTTGAGTGAAAAAATAAAACCAGAAGCCAGATCAGCTATTTTATCTTAAACCTGCAGACACCTCCTGTTTCTTAAAATACAACTCTTTACCTTAGTCTAGTGTTCGTCTATGTTTTTCTCCATCTAATAGAAGGGTATTTTCCTTCAAAAACTAACTTTACTTAAATACTCCATCTGACTGCATCATGAACGTCCAGCCTTCCTATTCCCATTTTGGAATAATGGTAACACATTCAAAATATGCTACATAAAAATCTCTGCTATTTGACCATCTTATTGACCAGAGAATTCAAAGATATTTGGGATCCCTTCCATGTGCAAAAGATGTAAAGTTACTAAACAAAATCAAATTTATTTCCAGTCTTCCAAAGGATTAGTCTACTCTATTAATAAAGTATCTTAACCTCAAAAAAATTCCACATTAGGTCCACTGATTTGCCTGACTAGTTTAAGTATGGCATCTTGTGTTAAGAGTTGAATGCTTACTTTTGTTTTGCAGAGATTGGCATCCCTTGTAATGGCCTTTGACAAGAGAGTACAACATCATTGAAGAATGGCACTGGGTGGATCTTAGAAGTCACCCCAACTGTAATTTTACAGATAAGGAATAGATGCCCAAAAAGATTGTAACTTGGTTAAGGTAGTACAGTTAGTTAGTGACAACTAGAACCAGAACCACAATCACCATACCCCAGACTTTCCACCTCACTGGAGCTTTCCAAGCCTCCATCATGACCTTTGTCAATAGCACTTACACTATATGTAGTTTATATTTTTCCTAAATGCACTTACTTTTTAACCTGAAATTTATGTAAAAAGTAAATTTGACTCAAGAAGTAGCTATAATGAGTTTGATTTGCTGTTTTTTTCTTATACACTTTGAAATAAATGTGTATCTAAGAAATGTTGGCTGGGCACGGTGGCTCCACGCTTATAATCCCAGCACTTAGAAAGACCAAGACAGGAGAATTGTTTGAGCCCAGGAGTTCGAGATCAGCCTGGGCAACATAAGGAGACCTTGTCTCTACAAAAAAATAATAATGAAAGTTAGCCAGGCATGGTGGTGCTTGCCTGTAGTCCTACCCACTTGGGAGGGTAAGCTAGGAGGATCCCTTGAGTCCAGGAGGTCAAGTTTGTAGTGAGCCATGATTGTGCCACTGCCATCCAGCCTGGTCAAAAGAGTGAGACCCTGTCTCAAAACAACAAGTGTTATTCAGTGCACCCTCTAAAATCATCTTGTATAATGCCAACAGGTGACCACTGCACTGGACCTTAGGGGTCTCTGATCTGTTGCTTGCATGTTTAATTACAAGTACTCATGACATGAGGAAAATGGCAAAATCTAGTGAAAACTTTAGTGAAAGCACAAGAGATTATTGTGTGCAACAGTCTTTGTTATAGGGTTATACATGCTTTTTACAGTCTTGCAATTTCAGCTCATGGAGATACAGTGGGTCTGTATCTTCAGGAACCATGGGGATAAAGTAGGTTTCTTTATTTTTTCTAAATTATGAACATATTTAGATTTGTAAAGTCACACATAAGCTTTTCTAATGGTGATGTAGAGTATTATTGCAAAACTTGATTTCTCAGTTTGCTATTACATTTTTGCCTTATGAGTACTTCTATAAATAATCACTCTCAGAATAGAATCATGATCTGCAATGAGGTTGTATTATACTCCACAAATATATCAGAGAAGTAATTCCATGAATAAACATAAAGGTCATATTAACATTTATTTCAACCTAGACCATTTGAATGGTGCAGACTAAGCTATGTTGCCTTTAAAGAAAGACATCTTTAACAACAACAACGACAACAACAGAAAAAAAAAAAAAAAAACCCAGCATTATAGTATGTAACCTACAGGTTAGGAACACATTCAAACTTTTCTTGATTTTCTCACTGATAAATAAGTTCCTGGCATGAGACAGTTATAAGGAATCTTAGGAAAGTAGTGAGTAGGATGAAAAAATAAGGCTCCAAATGCATATAATGGGTATTTAGTCTAATACTTTTAATTTCTCCATGAATTGATGTTTGCCATGACTTGCCATGAAAGGATTTATAGGTGTTAAGAGAAAAGATGTCAAAGAAAATATTCCTTAGAGAATTATAACTCTCTGGTTTTCTTCTTAAACTGGTATTCATTGACAAAGATAGGAGAATTCTTCTAAGTTAACATAGATTCCTCAAACAGTTTTTTAAAGTCTTATTGAATTAAATTACTATATTTGTAGTTGGTCAGAACTACTTAAAAGTCACATTTGCTGCTAAGGGAATTGACTAGAAGAGACGCTAACACAAAATTATGTAAGACTAAGATCTTTTAATGTTCTGTTACTCCGAAAGTTTTTGTAATATTTAAGATCGATTATTGCTAATTTATTTGACTATGGAGCTAGCTTTCTCAAGTTTTATCTTTTTAAATTCTTATGACTCTTACACTATTGCATTCATAGATGAACCTAGTACCCTAAAAGAGCTAACACACTACAGCTGAAAATGTTTAACCATTGCGTTGCAGCTTATGGAGCACAGGAAGTCTGTTTGGTATGTGCTCAAAATTCACAAATGCTATTGTGACTATAGATTATTAAACTTTTTCATTTTCATGTTTTAGGAAAATAATGTAGACCATCTCTTACAAAGGACACCTTTAATGGTCCCCAAATCATGATAGACAATTATGGTATCATTGCTAAGGTTGTATCAATGGTATTCTCAGGAAGAATTTGACTTTTCTGCTTGAAAATATTAACCCTGTGTAATAACACGTTGTAAAGCCAATACTATTGTATTGCATTTTTAGACTATTAAATATAAATTATATCATCTTTCTATATTCTGAATTTTACATATAGAATTTTCTTAAGAACACAATAGATGAATCTGGGATATACTTTTCTATGACAATATTTACCATGATCTAGTAAGTCAAAAGATATCCCTCTGTTCCAACATTTATATAGCATAGTGCTTTATATTCATCAAGTAAAAAAAATTACTAAACACCCCTTACTCCATAAAAAACTATGTGAGAATACTGAGTCACAGTGATTAAGTAATTTGCCCAAAATAATAATAGTTTAATAAATAATTTTAAACTTCTGCAGTTTCTGAACATCTTAATCCATAGATTAATACTGAATCTACATTATTTATTCACTCATTTATTCAACAGATATGAGGAACTGAAAAAGTACTGTGAGAGCTGCAAAGAAAATTAAAGCATCATACAGATTCCCAAGAATTATACAGTAGAGGGCAGGGAGAAAGCACATATAGAAATAAGACTATACAGCAGAGGATATTGGGTAAAAAGAGAGTTGACAGCAAGGTGTTATGTGAATTCACCTTTTTGCTAGAAGAATCAGGGAATACTTTAAGCAAGAATCGGCATTTACAATGGATCTTGAAGAATAGATGGGATTTATGGAAGAAGGTATACGAGGTAGAAGAAACATGTAAAAAGAGTCACAAATTCTGTTTATGGGAAATGTAGGAAACATTTGGTGAAGGGAGGTAGTGGGAACCTGAAAAAAGTAGGTGGGCCTCATTGATTAAGGTGTTGAATAAGGACCCACCGCAGGCTTTCAACTAGAAGTGACATGTTGTGCATTGTTGAAATTCGGGAATATTTCTCTAGCAGGAGTGTATTGGAGTAATTATGAGATAGAAAGACTGGAGATGGGACACTAGTTGGTGGACTAATACAGTAGTTCAGGTAAGAGTTAATGAAATTCTGAATAAAGATATTGATATTGGGGATAAACAAGAGGCAACTGATTCAAATTCTATTCAGAGAAGGGAAAGGATTTGTTCCCTGTTAAATGCTATTTAAAACCACTACCAGCCATTGCCGCTGTAGCAGGGGTGCGTTTTATGAGATTGGCTCCAATTAAAGGATCAGCCCCTATTTAAGAATATTATAGCTTCTCTGAAAAATGTGAAATAATAGAAACTACATTTTTATTTAGGCAACAAATAACCCCACAGACTCCGTATTCATTTAAAAAATCTCCTTAAAGTTAAAGGAAAATACTAATCTGAATAAATGTCCTAAGAATTATGCAGAAAGACTGGAAATTGACCTTAAAGAGAAATAACTATCTTGGCTCAAAGAATGCAAAGTACAACTAACTGGGAAGCTTTGGGAGTAACACAGCACAATAAAACCTTTTATTTTCAATAACCATTTATGAGGGAAAATAAAGAAGATAACAGCTAACATAAAAATAAGAGTTATCTTAAAAATCTATAATTTTATAGTTCTGAAGGGCCTGATACATCACCTGGTCCAAACCTGTAATTTTACTGTAGACAATAGGGTCCTCAGACGGCCCTATCTAGTCACTTAGTGACTAGAATCTGATTTTTAATAAGATCCTTAGGTGATTCGTA